CTTGCCTATTGGACCCTTGCCCATCTTGGTTAATAAATAACTCCAAGCACGGGATTGGGATCTGGATCTTGGAAGTGGTTAACGCTTCTCTGAGGGAGGGTCGGGTACCTGCCCCTTTAAAGGAGGCGGTAGTCCGACCGGTCCTGAAGAAAGCATCACTGGATCCAGAGATGGCCACTAATTATAGACCAGTGGCCAACATCCCGTTTCTGGGCAAGGTGTTGGAGCGGGTGGTGGCGGGACAACTCCAAGCTCTCTTGGATGAAACTGATTATCTGGACCCATTTCAGTCCAGCTTCAGACCTGGGTATGGTACGGAATCTGCCTTGGTCACCCTGTACGATGACCTGTGCAGGGAGGAGGACAGGGGGAGTGCATCCCTGTTGGTTCTTCTGGACCTCTCAGCAGCTTTCGATACCATCGACCACAGTATCCTTCTGGATAGGCTAGCGGAATTGGGGGTCAGAGGCACTGCTTTGCAGTGGTTCCGCTCCTATCTCCATGGCCAATTCCAGAAGGTAGTGCTGGGGGACTATGGCTCTGCACCGTGGCAGCTATGCCATGGGGTACCACAGGGCTCCATTTTGTCCCCCTTGCTGTTTAACATCTACATGAAACCGCTGGGAGAGGTCATCAGGAGGTGTGGGCTGCGGAATCATCAGTATGCTGATGATACCCAGCTCTACCTCTCATTTTCCACTAATCCAGGTGAGGCTTGTGCTGAACCGGTGCCTGGCCGAGGTAATGGAATGGATGAGGGCCAATAAACTGAAGCTCAATCCAGACAAGATGGAGGTGCTGTTGGTTGGCAGATCGGGCTTCGGTGAGGGTGAATTGAACCTAGTCCTGAATGGGGTTGCACTCCCTCTTAGGGACAAGGTTCGCAGCCTGGGAATGCTCCTCGACCCAGAGCTTTCACTGGAAGCTCAGGTGACAGCAGTGGTGAGGAGCGCGTTCTTTCAGCTTCGGCTGATCCATCAGCTGCACCCCTACCTGGAGTACGACTGCCTGGCGACAGTGACACACGCGTTGGTGACTTCCCGCCTTGACTTCTGTAACGCGCTCTATGTGGGGCTACCCTTGAAGATGGTCCGGATACTTCAATTGGTTCAAAATAGAGCTGCTAGGCTGCTGATGGGGACTGGGCATTATGTTCACATGACTCCAGTCCTCTGTCAGCTTCACTGGCTTCCCATTGATGTCCGGGCCCAATTCAAGGTGTTGGTGATGACCTATAAAGCCCTAAATGGCTTGAGTCCTGGTTACCTGAAGGAGTGTTTACATCCATATATGCCCGCCCGCCCTCTGAGATCAGTGGGAGAGGCCCTTCTCCGGGAACCCTCCGTGAAGGAAATTAGGAGGGTAAGTACTCGGAGGAGGGCTTTCTCTGCGGTGGTGCCCAATCTATGGAATGCGCTCCCCAGAGAGGTCCGCCTGGCGCCATCTTTATTTGTTTTTCGGCGCCAGGCAAAGACCTTTTTATTCAAACGTCATTTTAACTGTTAATAGTATTTGTTTATTTTATTCTTTGGCCAGGGCAACTTATTTTATATTGTTAACTTGTTTTATATTGTTAATGTATAGTATTTTAATTGATTTATTTGTGAGCTGCCCTGAGGCTTCGGCAAATGGGGCGGCATAGAAATTTTCTAAATAAAATAAATAAATAAAAGTAGTTGCTGGAGTGTGGGACCTAGAAGGGTATTGCATTTGGGTGCATGCTTTGAAAATGTTGGGTGTTGTGGTACTTCAGTCTTTGCCACTGCATGATCCACATCCATTATCCATCCCTATTTTATTTCATTTTCTGTGACTTGGTGCCCATTCAGCAGAAAACAAAAAAAAAGTATTAAAATATTTTCAACTTCCCCTTTGAACATTCTTCCAAAAAATAGCTGTATGGCATGTTGCTTAATTCTAACTCTATGCCATATGTCATTTTCATTAAAATTGCCAACACAAAAGGTAGACGGATAAGAGCATCCCTTTTTGGAAAACGTAAAGACTGCACTAGCACAAAACTTCCTGTATATATTCATCTGAAATGGTTTGTTCCTTAATAAAGGCAACTGTTTGTGTAAATTCTATCAAATTATGTCAAGATTTTTTTAGTGGCAGTTCCCTAAAAAAAAGAAAGAAAAAAGAAATCAGAACTTAAAGGTGTATAGCACAAATTCTACTGCACCTATTTTTCTGGAAACTGATAGATGTAAACCCCTTATATCTGCACATTTCCTCCACGTTTCAAACATACACACACACGGGCAGTGGGAGGCATAATTATTCAAATTTTCAAACTGAAATTCAGATTTAGACCTGAGCCAAAGATGGCAGCCTGCAAATCAGTTCACGCTTAATTGAAGTTCTCTGAATCACCAAACCGGGGTCTGAACTGAATCTTGTTGATGGTGCATACCCCTAGATCTGAAACTCACTTTTATTTTTAAGCAAACAGAAAAGGAAAGACTCTAGGCTGGGTAACAGTAGGAACCTTTAATGTAGTTCCATTTCTCTTGGAGACCCTGTTGCCTCTTCAGGAGCTTGGGTGGAAAATGCAGAAATTCCAGAAAACTTGATCTAGGTATATGCAAAATCTTACATAGAAATAGCCTTTTCTGTTCTTTGCATTTATAAAAGTACAGCAGGAATAGATCACACCAAAACTAGTGGACTAACTTTCCAAGTAGACTGTAACAGAACTTGACTGTTAAGTGAACTTCTTTTACATAGCTTCCTGCATGGAACACATGAACTGGATGCTCTGTGCCCGGCAACCAACGGGAACTACATCATGTCCCAAGAGTCTTTCAAAATCACATTTCCTATTTTGTAACAAACAAAAAACCACTTAGCTGCATTTAACAGCCTCAATGGTGTAGTGGTTAAGAGCATGGGACTGGGACTCAGGCGATCTGGGTTCTAGTCCCCGCTCAGCCATGGAGCCAAATGGGTGACTTTGGGCCAGTCACAGACTCTCAGCCCAACCTACCTCACAGGGTTGTTGTTGTGGGGATAAGATGGAGGAGGAGAATGATGTAAGCTGCCTTGAGCCCTTTGTAGAAAAAAGGCAGGATATAAATCGAAATAAATAAATATATATAAATCGATATAAATAAAATATGTCTCAGCAACTATTCTAATTGAACTACTTTAGAGGAAATGAGCTATGGTTTGTAATATTTTCAATAAACCATTTCCACTAATGGGTGGCTCAACTGGGCTAGCCATTATTGAACATGCCTCTCCAGATTTTCAGATGTAGAGACATATCCACAAAGACAGAATCTATCAAGAATGAGAGTATAGCACGTTTTTCGGGTTACAGCATAAGATTATTGCCCCAAATGATTTGTAGGTTAAAAATGGTATTTGAGAGGGACTCAATAATCTGTGGAAAGTTCTGTACTTTTCCACACCTTACTTCACATAGTTACAGCATGTTAGGCTGAGTGTGGTAGTTGCCTGAGGCAGCTGATTTGGGGAGTCATGAAAGGATAGCCAGGTATTAGTTAGTTACCAAGCGATCTTATGGTCCCTAGTCAGTGTATGTAAGCCACAGGGTTTCAGAGCCCCAGCTCTGACGTCAGAAGACCGCTCTGAAGTTGGAACACAGACTCTGTGCTCGGTGAGCGCCCCTCTCCCTGCAGCCGATAGGAGAAAAACTGCTCTCACTGCTCTCCCCAGATCATAAGCGTGGTCTTGGAGAAAAGGCTTAGTGGGCATTCTGGGAAGCAGAAAGGGGAGGAGTTCACACTGCTAAGACAGGATTTATTCTGGTCCTCAGCCTCCTTTCCTCCCCTCTGAAATGCAGCAGTTAAGACTTAAGCTGAAATTTGCCGTCAAATTTCTCCCAGCGAGTCCATAACCATGTCTGAACGAGCAAGCCGCCGCCTTGCTGCCCACGTGGCAAGGCGGCAGCGGGTGCAGGGAGTCCAAAACCTCTGTGGCGGGCCAGATAAATGGGCATGGCAGGCGGGATCCGGCCCACGGGCCATAGTTTGAGGACACAAGCTATATAGGATACCCTTAATCCTCCAAGTTCAGAGGTTTACAGTGGTCTCACTGGAAGAGGCTCCCTGTAATTGAAGAGGAAGATTTCATTTCTGACCCATCCAATAGCCAAAACTCTCAAGACAATTTACAACAGTCTATAAAAAACAATACAATAAAAAACTATGTTGCAGGGATCTCAAGTTTCATAAAAAGCATTTTCTATTTTAGCTCAGCAACACTTTTATACTTATTTATCTATTTCCTACATTATAGTTCAGTTTTCACAGTGTTGCACAATTATGAAGTGGCGGTGCTGCTGATGGGACTACGCCGGCTAGGAAGGGGTGGAGCCAAGGGACAGATGGAGCGCGGCCAATTCATTTTAGGTTTTTAAATCGAAGAAGAACGAATTGCCCAGAAAGAGGGCAGAGTATGCGCTTGTCGGGAGGCGAGGGGGGTTGTTTACTGCGAGGGCTGGAGCATGTCTACTCCCCACACACCTCCGAGAATTCTTGTGCTCGACAGCTTCAGGGTCGGAGGAGGATCAGGTTTTACGTCTTTTCGCGATTGAAGATCTTCAGCAATTCGGGAGAAAATAAGGGGCGTGGACGACTGGCCCTCAGAGCAACCAATGACGACTAAGTCCGCATCCTGCCATTAAGAAGCGAGGCTCCGCTCCGCTCCTCTCACTATCACCGGGCCCACCTGGAAACAAGAATGACAGCATGATGTTCGGGGAGTGGAAAGTGCCTGTTAATGAGTCATAAACACAACCACACAAAAGTCACAGGGAGGAAGGCTCTTCACATTCGGAAGATCCTTCACAATCTGGAGATGCTCGGGAGCCAAAGCGGGAGCGCTAAGCAAAAGTGCCCGAGCTGGAAGGGTTAATGTGGTGACGTCACATCGTGCGTTCACAACTCCTCCTCCTCAGTGTGATGTGAGGAGGTTTGAAAATCACCCCATTGAAAGTCCCGCCCCCTGCTTGCCATTCGGAGGAGCGCGAAGCGATTGGAGTAAGTGAGGCTAGCAGCGGCGTGCGTTTGATAGCGGAGAGATCTCGGCTCTGGGCGGCGGAGGCAGTTGCACCCCACGCGCACTCGACCTGCCCCGGCAGACCCTGCGTTTGAACACGGGACTCGGAGCTGTGGTCAAGGAGGGCAGCCGAAGCCGGTCGCGAGCCAAACATGAGCCCAGCTGGACTGCCTGCAACTCTGTCAGCATGGAGGGTGCTGCTGTTGCTCAGCACGCTCAGCCAAGTTTCTGGGAACGGTAAGGCTCGGTGTTCTCATTTGGGAACGAAAGGTTGGGAGTTGGAAGCCTCGGTTTCAAAAGACGTAGATAGCCCCAGGGCGAACATCAAGAGGAAGAGCTGTTTTTGCGGCTAAGAGCCATATAGTGGGCAGTGCTGGGTAGACTTTTGGGACTCAGTGAGATGTGCTGTCCCATTTGCTTAGGCTGCCTATCGCAAATCCACAGCAGTCTTAACCTTCTGTACAGGAATCCAGTTTGTGACATCTTGCCAGAGGGAACCCGCGCCACTTTCAGTAGAAGTTAGATGTTTTAGTTTCACCCCATTTCCGAAATCTGCATGAAGTTTCACTGTGCAGCTGGGCACTTAATAACCCAGGATGCTATTTTTTCAGGTTCATTAATGGTATGTCCCAGAGCTGAGAAAGAGGAGCTGCGGACTCCTAAATACCTTGATTCTAGGTATCTCTTTCCCTTCCATGTTTCTACTTTTCCTCTCACGTGCATTCTTTCGGACATAGTATCCTTTGTAGTAGGCTAGTTGTCTGTCCGCTATTTCGTCCCCCCCCCCCCCCCCCACTATCAACTGGATGTAATTGTCCTTTAATTTAGAGTAGGGCGGAGTAACCAGCTCTTGACTAACGGGGCTGGGCATCTCTCCCTTCAACATGAACATGAGAGATGAGCTCACACCTCCCCTCCCACTCGACTTTCCCCGGTGTTCTTTAGTGCCTTTCAGCTGCTTCCTGTAAGGATGTGGCTTCCTAAAGACCTTAACGCCTTTCAGGATCCCACCGTCTGTCTAGAAATAGGTAGGGAAGATACGTTGCCCTCCCCAGGGGTGATTCACAACTGCATTCTATCCGTCTTTGTGCTTTTCGGCTCATGAGCAGACTGCTCTGGAGTCAGTTCAGGTACTTTATGGTTCCAGATAGGGTGCAGGGGCTATTCCTTTAAAGGGCACAAATATTAACTGTAACGGAATGCTTCGTTCCCCCCGCCTCCGGAGGAGGATGGTACACCTGACACCACGGCATGCAAAAACCAAAACTTCTCAGAGGTTTTTCATAAAAAGCGCTCCGGACTGAGTGGTATGGGTGGAGCTCCGCCTTGGCGCGCCCGCCGGATGAGCGCGGAACTCCGAGGAGGTGAATTTCCGAGATTCTGGTGGTAGGTAGAGGCAAGACCGCCCCAGCGGGACGAGCACTGTTACTGGAATTGCTCGTTATTCTGGTCCAAGGAAGTTTCCTTGCGAACAGGGGATGTGTCCCCTTAACATCTAGGAAGGAGTTGTGAGAAATATCTGGTTGCTTCGATGGTAAAGAATGCATGCCACCCGTAACAGATTTTTCTCTTTGAGTTGCTTTTGTGTTTTAACACTTTTACCTGGAGGGAAGTGGATGGATTTAGGAGCATTTGTTGGTGCGGGAAACACCAGAAGTCTGGCAGTCGGCCTGAGTGCGTTTATGAACGCATGCGCTTGTCCTTACCACTTCGACGGGCGCGGGGGGCGGGATAAAGAACCAGAGGGAGTGCTATGCTGGGAGTAAGCATGTGTGTTGCGGGAGGTGCTTCTGCTTCTCGTGGAAGACTGAAGGAACCTGGGATGGGAATGGGCTGGAAGGTTTTGGAGGCGGCACCTTTTGTAGCTGGTGGCACTGAATCCAGCCATTTGCTCGCTTGTTTGGTCACCTTGTGGAGGCGCTATACTTGCCTGTTGGCTTGTGGGGAAAATGGGCCATTTGTTAGCCCTGTCACATCAGTCAATGGGAAGCTTGAGGAAGAAAGAAAATGTTCCTTAGCTCTCCTTTAGAAACCATGTCTAAGAAGCATGTGCAAAAGTTACTTCATGTGAAGGATTCGCTTTTTGCTCACTGCTGTGGTTCCTTCACAGTTGGCTGTTTACTTTTCTTCCTGACAGTGAAAACCATTGCCGTTTCTGAACTCTCAGCACATGTCAGTGTATTCCATTTTGAGTGCAAAGAATCCTGTGGCTTTCTGTTTTTTTTTTTTTTTATTTAAGGAGAGCACCAAATGTGTGTCACCTTTAAACTCCCAAGAGGACTCACATTTTAAACTGGTAAACAAATCTTCCAAAATAGCCTGCTTTGTTAATTTGTTAGCACAAAAAGAATTGCTTCTATCTACTAGGAGTAATTCATAATATTGCTAATGTATCCGTGCTCTCATTCCAAATGCTATTTGATGCAAAGTTTTAACAATTACACATTAATGTTCTAAAGATGCATTTCCTTCATGTAGCTGTTAATGATTGAGGGATTTTCATGACTGCTCAACTTTGCTTTTGTGATCAAAGTTCCAAAGGACAGTAGCGCCAACTTTGATTGTCCCTCATGTATTTACTTTTCTTTTTTTTTTTAATCTGCTTAGATAATCTGTAGCAAACTGGTTGTGTTTACAAAAGGTGACTCTTGTCCATCATGGTGATGGCCAAGATGTGTTTTGTTTGATGCCCCTCTTGCAATGGCCATCAGACTAATTAAACTGTCCAGGAAGCCCTATTTGTAGCCTTCCCAGGCTAAGGGGCAGGATAAAAAACTAATGAATAGATAAAATAAATATAATGCAATCACAGAACATTGCTTCTTCAGTGTTATGCACTAGGCATGTGTTCTGAGGTATGAATCCTGTTATGCCATAATTTATTTTATTTACTCTTAGGACTAAAACCCAGAATTTCCAAATCCCAGTCCTGTACTCTAACCATTATACCATACTGGCTCTAACTGTTACAGTGCTTTCTTGTAGCAAACAGACATGTACATTTTCCAGAAACAATTTAACTATGGTGAATTTCCTTTGTTTCAGTAGCATTTTGCAACACTACCATTTAAAGGCTGATGTTCCATTACTATATGGGAGTGTTTGAGGGCTTAGGTGTGCATTGTGTGCTTTAGCATAGGATTGTTACCTTAGGTAATTATTTTAAGGGTAAGGAACCTCTGGCCATCTAGATTCTGCTGGACCTCAATTCCCATTCTTACTGCAATTTGGCCATTGTGGCTAATGGGAGTTACAGTCCCATCTTGGAGGTGCATGTTTTCTCCACTCTGGGGTATGCACAAGTGTGAGAAGGTGCACCTGTTTAAATCATGTCCTTGAGAGGATAATAATAGTTGTTTTTTTATCAACATCTGGAGCAGGGGTCCTCAAACTTTTTAAATGGGGCCAGTTCACTGTCCCTCAAGCTGTTGGGGAGCCGGACTATAGTTTGAAAAAAATATGAATTCCTATGCTCACTGCACAGTAAAAATAATTAAAATTAAAATAAATTTTAAAAATTAAAGAATTAAAAAATGTTTGCTCCACTCGCTTGGGCTGCAGCAGAAGCCCAAGATGACATTGTGCCGCCTGCCAAAAGGGAGAGCACGACACGAGGGGGAGCCATGAGGGCGTGCTTGCCTCGGTTGAGACCTTCCCTGCTCACCGCCACCGCCCTGCTTCCGAGCAGGAGGAAGGTCCCCTTGCAGGCGCTTGCCCGGCTCCAGGAACGGGAGTGGGAAGCCAGAGAGGCAAGCATGAGATGGCTCCCCTGGCCAGGAGAGGGCCACGAGGAGGGAGGTGATGCCTGCTTTCCGAGGCGAGGGTCAGGGCCGCGACTGGCCAAGCAGAGCGCCTCCCACCTCTCCCCGCCACGCGGGGGAGAAGAAGCATGGCAGCCACTCGACAGCGATGGCTTGCCCAGAGACAGCTGTGGCGGAAGTGCGGGAGCCGCGGCTCCACTCTGCCTCAGCCTGTCCGCCCTTGGACTCGCCTGCAGCCTGGAGACATGGCTCACATAGTTAAAAATAGATTTTAAAAGTTATATTTTTCTTACGTTACCTTCTTCGTCTATCTCTCCCCGCTGCCCTCCTCTCTTCTGCATTCCTGCTCCGTATTCCCGCTCTGTATTCAGCGCCGATGCATGTGTGCAATAGGCAGGAAGAGCCGACTCACATGCAGTTGAAGGAAACTGTTACATTTTGGCATGTGCACTGGCTCTCTGCTAGTCTCAGAAACTGAAAGTGTTTCAGAGAACACATGCACCAGCTCACAGCTTTTGGACTCGCTAGGAGATGGTCTGAAAGCTTTGAGGCAGGGCAGGTAAATGACCATGGTGGGCCATATCCGGCCTTCGGGCTGTAGTTTGAGGACCCATGATCTGGAGGGTCACAGGTAACCACTATCCCTGCTATAAGAGCTTTTATCCTGGTATATGAAAATGTGACTCTAGGTAGAAATGGTGAAAGCTTGAGGCTGAAGCTAGAGAGTGTCTGTGGGTCTACTGCTTGTGCTTTAGTCTACATTAGCAACAATTTCTGGAAAGTGCTCATGATTCATACTCTTCCACACCTTCAGGAAGTGTTCCTAGTTCTTGATAATGCGTATTACAGTTCATCTGCAGAAAAGAGAAAATGGCAGGTAGTGGGGGAGGAGACAGGCATCCTGGTCTGCCTGTGACATTCTGTGACATAAAGCCAAAGGGATAGAGTCGGTAGGACTTGCATAATGTTGCCTCTGTTTAAGGAATCCCCTGGCCATTTGCTTCAGACTTATTGGTACTGCTGCTGCTGCTACTCATAAGGCTGCAGGTCTTAATCACATGTACCTGCAAGAGCCATTCCATCCCAGTAAGCATGAGCAGAATTGGATTGCTTTCCAGTCTTAATTTCCTCCTCAGCAGCTCTGTGAGGTAAGATTCTGTGGGCTTTGAGCATTTTCAGGCCCCCTGCACTTTTCATGACGCACAACTTTTACATTCATCTGCTTGGCTGTTTTGCAGTATGTACTGATGGGGGAGGGAAGGGTCCATTCTGGGAATGGGATGGGTGTTGGCAGGATTGCTCATGAGAGTTCACTCTCATTTACTGTTCTGTGCTAGCTCATAATTCTAGGAGCCTTTAGTCTGAAACACATTGAACAAAGTAAAGACAAAAGTTTCCATGTTCATTGCAGGATGTACATTAATCTGGGGCAGTGTGGTCATGAACAGTGCAGGAGGCATAGAAGTGACATGGTGATTGACCTGCTTGATGAAAACTTTCTGGGTTTGATGCAGTAGAGATACTTGAACATGTACATGTTTTGGGTGATGAAAGCAACAGAATCAAAGTTAAATTAAGTTAAAAGGAAAGCCAAATTAATTTGCATGTTTTCTGCAGTAATCCAATGATAGTATTGAACACTTCTAGCTTTAGGATAGCAAGACTATTCCAAGAGCACCAGCTGGACTTTGGCATCCATTATGTTTCAGTATATTAATACATGTCTGTGCTCTGGCTCACAGCCAAGCCTAAGATAGAATGGAAGGCTGTTCCTATCTCTGCCATCATTGTGCTAGACCTCCAAGTAAGGTATTATATTTTATGCAAGTGTTAGACCAAAGAGCAGCAAAAGAGATTTTGTTCATACTGTTTCCAGAACCTAGTTTTGTAACTTGCAAAGCATCATCATGTGTTACTGGAACAGGTAAAGCAATGTCATGTCTCTGCATTGTGTTGTTTTGAATTTCCCTTTTCTGTTCACTAACGCAGTGCTTGCATGTAGTTCTCATGCTTTGCATGTCCTTCTCATGCCTGTGTGAAATCAACTTCCCTGTAATTATTACGGAAAGTGGATCAGACTTTTGCAGCATCTGCTAAGTGCTAACTTCCCTAATAGACTGGATTCTGTTAATCTGGATTTACATGGATAATCTGGTAGGTTTTTTTTCCTGAACTCCTGGTAAAGATTTTTATTTTTAGAAAAAACAAAGACGTTTCTAGCCCTCAGAGTGGGAAATACATTGAGTGAGTTCACACAACATGACAAGCCACCCTGTGAATAAGTTGCTTGACTGTTTTCAGCCCCCTGCACCTTTGCCATACTGCCCCTGGCCTCTTAGGCACTCCAGAATGGCAAGATCTGTGTGTGCACACACCCTCCCTTTTCATAAGAACTTTCTTTTGACAGCTGTCAAAATTTTGTTTTGTTTTGTTGTTTAAGCAGGGTTTTTGACATGGCTAAATGGGTGATTTGGTGGATTGCATAAGCAGTTGTAAAACGGAGTACCTAGAAGCTGGGAGGAGTATGGAAAAAGGGACTGAGAACAGTCAAGGCAATGCTACAAACTAGAAGGTCACACTCAAAAGGTGGAGAGGTAGTTGCTACCCCCTTTGAGAGCAAAGACAACCCTGTGGCAATGTACCGTTTGATCACTGTCAAAGGAAAAACAAAGTTAATGTGTTTATAACCTTGCTTTCTCAGTGTCAATGCCTTTCACACTTCGACAGGAGACACTTACGAGGACATTGACCAGGCAAGACTTCACATTCTAGATAGAGTGAATTTGTGCTTCTCTGAATACTGGCCCCTCAAAACATAACAAAAATTATGAAAATATTTGCACATATTTCTAGTGCCTAAAAATAAAAACAGTGGTGAATGAATTATGGTCTCTCCAACATGTTGAGGGGAAAAGCCTAGGAAACATCACCAAAAGGCTCTGTAAGTACAAAGGGGTGGGGGGAAGCAGTGGAAACAACTGAAAAGTGTTTGCATTTGAAGTGGAGTGAGTGAGACAGTGTTGGTCTTGGATCTAAAGGATCCAAAGTATTTTCAAAAATCAGTAACTTTGAAAGTTTGTAGAGGTTCTTATTAACTATGTATATAGTTGTTATTGACTTCAATACAATTGACATTAAGGATGAAGACAGGCAAGAAAAGAGAGAAACCCTCATCATCTGTTAGAAAGTTCATCCATATCATAGAAAAGTACATCAGAACTAGTTCTTTTTAAGCCCAACCAGGATAATCTTACCAGTTTTGTGGATACATATAGTCAGTTCCTTACTGTAGTTCCTGTCTCCAGCAAGGGCACAAAAGGGGAGAGGCTGAATCTAGGTGTGTCCCTGTATGGCTGTAGAAAGGATATCCGTGTTTGGCCTTTTTATTGTATGGGTTCATATTGTCATGGTAAAATTTCCAGATGCTTGCTGTTTGCTAACATGAAGCTTGTGCAAATAAAATGAAAAGCTGTAAATGAGTCAGGACCTCTTAAGCATTAGCTGTCTGCTATTGATGGGGCAGTGCTAGGAGTAGCTGGTGGTATGGCTGGAGGTCTGTCCCACTGCTGGTGTGGTTGACAGAAAATCTGTGTGTTTCCTGAGTAAGGATGTACATTAATGACTTGCTCTAATCTGCATGCCTGCCAGTTCTCTTTATGTGCAATGTGTGTGTGATCCTTCTGTAAAGGAATACAAGATGAAGGATGGTGACTGGCCCATTTTACATGGAAACTTCAGACAAATTACAGTGTCACTGCAAACATTGCTGAAACAAACCATGGCAGTGGTGTGCACAACTGCTTAAGAGTTCCTTAAGACATGTTCCTTCAGCGGAGGGCGACAAAAATGATCCAGGGTTTGGAAACACTGCCCTATGAGGAGAGACTGAGGGAAATGGGCATGTTCAGCCTTGAGAAGGAGAAGACTAACGGGCGGGGTGGGGTGGGGGGGTATGATTTCCCTCTATAAGTACCTCAAAGGCTGTCACAAAGGGGAAGGTCAAGATCTCTTCTTGCTGATGACAGAGTGTAGGACACGGAATAATCATGTCAAGCTGTGACAACCCAGATTGAAGCTAGATATCAGGAAGAGCTTCTTCACTGTCAGAGCAATACAACAGTGGAACCAGCTGTCCAGAGAGGTGGTGGGCTCTCCCACACTAGAGGCATTCAAAAAGAAACTGGGCAGCCAACTGAGTGGGATGGTGTAACTTGGTGTTCTGCAACAGCAGGGGGTTGGGCTCGATGGCCTCATGGACCCTTCCAGCTCTTCTATGATTCCATGTGGCAGCAGGGCAAATACATGCAGCTTCTCTATGGCAGTGGCCTCTGCTGTTGCTTTACTACAAGGACCTGTAATAGTAAGCAGGCATTAAAGGCAATTCACTACAGAAATGACACAGCAACACTTTTGTTAAGAGATTCTGACCTGGCACTCATACCTTGATCAGCAAAACCTTGCGCGAGATGTTCACTGAAGTGGATAAGTTAGAGTGCCTGCATCCTGCCCATTTCTGATAGCTGCCAGGTCATGTCACAGAAGATATCCTAAGTCTGCACGTGCTTATTTCAATGTTTTAAGAGGCCCTCCCTCTTCTGCCTTTATATTAAGTGACAAGTGCCTAACCAACTAGAATCTGCCTGGAGGTCAAGACCTTTCTTGAGAAATCTTTCTCCACAGTTCTGGTGTGTGCAGTATCTGAGATTTCCAAGTGTGAGATCAAGTAATACAGTAGGCGCTGGGGTGCAATGCCAGTGACCCTGCTCAGAACTACAGATGGATGAATTTGTCAAGCTCAATTTTGCTCGGGCTCCTACTTTTTCCTGTGTTGTTTCACTCAGTTCTCATTCTGAATCAAGACAGCACGAGAACTTTTAGTGTCTGTGTGAAAATGTATAGGCATTAAAAATATATTTTGTGTACAAACTTGCAAATAAGTGCAATTTCCCCATTGAATAAAATGTCCTCAAAATGCCTATTTCTTGAGTGCATTTTTGTGTGTATTTTCTGCATGTGAACAGTGTTTCAAACTTTTGGCATGCACAGATTTCAGCACTAAAATGTTTTCCAATTCATGATTATGGCTGGGAAATATGTATTCCGTAAGTTTGCATTATAATATGAACTGCCTGGGTTTCTTACCTTTCCCTACCTAATATGCTACTGGTTAAGACTTGGGTTATTTGTGCATACTGTGGCTGGTTGAACAAATAAACAGCTTCACATTTCTTCACCCTCAAACATTGCCAACACAGTGCCACTGGAGTTGGGTTGAGGGAGGGAAAGGAGGTGAGGAAGGAGTTTAACTGCATTGAAATGAAAGCTGCCTTGGATTCTTTGTGGTTTCCTGTTGGGAGTTAAAATGGCTGCTGGTTAACAAAGAAGAGTATGGAGGGCAATAGCTACCTAAATTCACCTCACCTTTGCTATAAAACATCTCTGAGTTTCCTATGCCTGTGCACATAGTTAATCTGAATTTTTGGCACTCCTAGACTTCCAGCAGCTTGCAGGCTTGAGCCTGCCTGGTGATTAAAAACCTTTTGCTCCTCTTCTTGTGTTCTTGCCTTTGGAGTTTGGGCATGTAACTTGAAATTAGCTGCTGTTCCTGGAATATATTTGATAGGGTTGGGTTGTCCTATGACAAAATCACTGATGTATTGATAATGCCTTAGGTTAATGTGATTTAGAGGCCCTGTTTGCAGCTATGAGTGCTGCAGGCATAATGCAATAAAGCAGGGGTCTCAAACTCGCGGCCCGCGGGCCAATTGCCGGGACGGACGGGGCACGGGGGAGGGGCCCTGCGGCCTTCGAAGCGCCAGCGGCGCCTGAGCCGGCCTCCGGGAGCAACGCGGGATGAGCGGCCCACCACCCGATGCGGCCCAGCCTCACCCAGACTGCCCCCAGGTAAGTTGAGTTTGAGACCCCTGCAATAAAGGGTCATTCTCTTTGATGTCTGATGAGGTTACCTTCTCTTTTGCAGGGCTGGAGAAGTGTGGAAGGAATGAGTTCCACTGCGGAAATGGAGTCTGCATACCTTATAAATGGATTTGTGATGGCAACGCTGAATGCCAGGATGGCTCTGATGAATCCCTGGATGCTTGCAGTAAGTTGATCTAACCTTGTCCAGCCTTCTTTAATTCTCTACATGATGGAGCAGTGTTCAGGCAGCTGAGCATGCCAAGAGTTATTCCTCTGGGCTTCTCCAACCTTATTATTCCAGAGTGCTCTATCACAGAGCACCATGAGAACAATTGCCTACAACTGTCTTGTCTTGGAGGCTGGGGGAATAGGTAGCTTGCTGCTTGGTGGAACCCCTAATAGCAAGGAATGGAGGACTCTTTTCAGCTTCACCTGACCACTTGCTGCCTCAAAATTGCTTTTAAAAAGAGAGCCTGCAACAATTTGGTTGGGAGTTGAAGAGCTGGAGCAGCATCTGTGAGAAGGAAACAAGACAGCTAGGGATGGGCACTGGCAGAGGCGTAGTTGGAGTGTGTAATTGTAGCACCCTCAGCACTCAAAAGGAAAAGACTCTGCTCTCCACACAAGAGCAAGCAGAGTTCTAATTAAAAGCTGGGCTTTTCTTTTCAGAATCAGTGACCTGTGAACCAAGCCAGTTCAGCTGTGGTGGCCGTATAAATCGTTGCATCGATATGTCCTGGAGGTGTGACTCGCAGATGGATTGTGAGAATGGCTCTGATGAAGAGAACTGCAGTGAGTCAGATTCTGGGCTACCGGGAAGTGCACAGTGCATCCTAGTGTTGGAGAAGGGAGTGGGTAGGGGAGTTGTTGGAATCAGACTTCTCCTCTGTCTGGATTTAAGTTAGGCTTAGGACCCAGAATGATCAAGGCTGGCTATGCACTTGCATGGCAAAATTTGAGATAATTTGCCAGATCTCCTACATGAGACCAAATGAGCCATAACTGAACCAATAGCTGAGGCCAGCCTTCCCGATCCTAGTGCTTCCAGATTACAACTTCCCATGGCCACATTGACTGAAAATGATGGGAGCTGCAGTTCAGCTTATCTGGAGGGCACCTGGTTGGGGAAGGCTGGCTAGGAAAGTAAGTTGTTGGAGTGTTGCTGTATCCTGTGTCACTGAGTAGTCTAGCATTCCTTTAAAAAAACTAGTTTCATAAGGGACAGATTTCCACCTACCATTCATTTTAATAAAAGTGTTAGTCTTACTTGATAGCCTACAGGTGCAAGGCGTTCAGGTATGCAGAACTGTACCACAGATGCTCATTCCCCTGCTGTGGAGGGAGAAAATATATGGATACATAATGGCAAATAGTTCCTGTTTGGCAGTTTCAATGGAAATGCATAAAAATCCAAACTGTTCACTGTTGGTTTAGAAGATTCTAGATCCTTAATTGATAAAATTATTGCTTGGACAAAGGATGTAGCATGCAAGCTTTGCTCAGTAATCTAGGGTGGTAGGAAACAAAGAAAGACATTAATCAGATTTTTTTAATGGGAAGATAGAAATGTTTTCAATAAATTTAGATTGAAATTGCAGGTTCTTCACAGTAAACAGCAAAAGTCATTTGTGTACTGATAGTACTATATTAAAAATGTTGTTGTAAGTTGTGAAGTCGTATCCGACCCATCATGACCTCATGGACAACATTCCTCCAGACCTTCCTGTCCTCCACCATCCCCCAGAGTCCACTTAAGCTCATACCAACTGCTTCAGTGACTCCATCTAGCCACCTCATTCTCTGCTGTCCCCTTCTTCTTTTGCCCTCAATTGATCCCAGCACTTAGGGTCTTCTGCAGTGAGTCCTTCCTTCTCATTAGGTGGCCAAAGTAATTGAGTTTCATCTTCAGTATCTGGCCTTCTAAGGAGCAGTCAGGGTTGATCTCCTCTAGGACTGACTGGTTTGACCTTCTTGCAGTCCAAGGGTCTTCTCCAGAATCACAATTCAAAGACTTCAGTTCTTCGGCACTCAGTCTTCCTTATGGTCCAACTTTCACAGCCATACATTGTAACTGAGAAAACCATAGACTTGACTATACACACTTTTGTTGGCAGGGTGATGTCTCTGTTTTTTAGTATGCTGTCTAGATTTGCCATAGCTTTCCTCCCAAGGAGCAAGCATTTTTAATTTCTTGGCTGCAGTCCCTGTCTGCAGTGATCTTAGAGCCCAGGAAAATTAAATCTGTCACTACCTCCATTTTTTCCCCATGTATTTGCCAGGAAGTGAGAGGACCAGATGCCATGATATTAGTTTTCTTGATGTTGAGTTTCAAGCCAACTTTTGCACTCTCCTTCTTCCTCCCGGCAATCCTAATTCCAGTTTAATTCATCTAGCCCCACCTTTCTAATGATGTGCTCTCCATATAAGTTAAATAGGCAGGGTGACAGTATACAGCCTTGTCAAACTTCTTTCTCAATTTTGAACCAATCAGTGGTTCCATGTCCAGTTCTCACTGTTGCTTTTTGACCCGCATACAAGTTTCTCAGGAGACAAATAAGATGGTCTGGTACTCCCATGTCTTTAAGAACTTGCCACAATTTGTTGTGATCCACACAATCAAAGGCTTTAGCATAGTCAGTGAAGCAGAAGTAGATGTTTTTTGGGAACTCCCTAGCTTTCCCCATGATCTAGCATAAGTTGGCAATCTGATCTCTAGTTCCTCTGCCTCTTCGAAACCCTGCCTGTACTTCTGGTAGTTCTCGGTCCCCATACTGCTGGAGCCTAGCTTGTAGGATTTTGAGCATAACTTTGCTAGCATGTGAAATGAGTTCAATGGTGCGGTAGTTTGAACATTCTTTGGCATTGCCTTTCTTTGGGATTGGAATGTAAACTGACCTTTTCCAATCCTGTGGCCACTGTTGAGTTTTCCAAATTTGCTGGCATATTGAGTGTAGCACTTTAACTGCATTGTCTTTTAGGATTTTGAATAGCTCAGCTGGAATACTATCTTCTCCACTAGCTTTGTTGTTGCTCAGACTTCCTAAGGCCCATTTGACTTCACATTCCAGGATGTCTGGCTCGAGGTCAGTGACCACCCCATCGTGGTTATAAGGGATGTTAAGCTCTTTCTTGTATAGTTCTTCTGTGTAATCTTGCCACCTCTTCTTAATCTCTGCCTCTGTTAGGTCCCTGCCATTTTGGTCCTTTATCATGCCCATCTTTGCATGAAATGTTTCCTTCATATCTCCAATTTTCTTGAAGAGATCTCTGGTCCTCCCTGTTCTATTGTTTTATTCTATTTCTTTGCACTGTTCATTTAAGAAGGCATTCTTATCTCTTCTAGCTGTTCTCTGGAATTCTGCATTCAGTTGGGTGTATCTTTCTCTTTCTCCCTTGCCTTTCACTTCCCTTCTTTGCTCCACTATTTGTAAAGCTTCCTCAGCCAGCCGTTTTTCTTTCTTGCCTTTCTTTTTCTTTGGGATGGTTTTAGTTGCTACCTCTTGTACAATGTTGCAAACCTCCGTCCATAGATCTTCAGGCACTCTGTCTATCAGATCTAATTCCTTAAATCTATTTGTCACCTCTACA